CGGAGGAGAAGGCAGAGACCTCCATCTGGGAGGGCGACGCAGACGAGCGGCGCAGGATGTCTGGGCTGGAGGGGACGAAAGCCAAGTTCTCAATACCTTTGGCGCTCTTCATGTCTGGATGCGTTCTCCCGACTCCGGCGCTTCAGAGCAGCGAAGAGCCAGGTCCCTCTGTGGCTCCTCCCACCGGCAGGTGACAGCGCCCCCGTGCGGGGAGCGTCCTTGCTCCCGGCCCTCCAGCCTCCTACTCCAGCTCACGGCCGCGAGGAGCGCAAAGCGCGGAGCCCGGGCGTCAGCGCCACAGGATGTGGCTTTGACGCTCAGCTGTGTCTCACCTGTAGCCGCAGGGGCCAACCGGAAGGCGCGGTGTGGGCGTGCCACCCGGCCGCTGCCCAGTGGAGGGGGCGAGAGTTCTCAGCTCTCGCCTTCCACCGAAGTCCGCCTCCGCCAGAGCTCGGGCGGTTCTGACCTGAGCCTCCAGCTCCAGCGCGCTTCCCTGAAGCCCAGGCGCTGGTAGCACACAGAGATTGTGGGAGTCTCTTTCCAAAAGCTCCCCCTGGGCGCTGGCATGAAACCTGTAAACACAGTTGCATCAGAAGATTGTTCAAGAAATGTCTTGCGTTTTTCTTCCTTTGCTGCTTTCCAAACCAGGCTAAGCTTGGACTCCAAGACTCTTCATGAGCATCTTGATAAGACTTTTTGCCTGTCATCCTGTTACTGGTAGAAGGTGTCCAGGCTTTTGGCATCTTGAACAAAGAATTGGACAAAATGCACAAAGCAAAGAATGAATGAAGGGATTTATTGAAAATGAAAGTACACTCCACAGTGTGGGAGCGGGAGAGCATAGGAGCTCAAAGGACCATTACAGAATTTGAGGGAGCTTAAATAATCCCTAGAGGATTCTTCCATTGGTTACTTTGGGTATGCTCAATGTAAATGGAGAGGATGAAGTTAAGTTGCTAAGTCATTTATGGCCTACGCCCTATGAAGAGGATATTTCCTGTTATAGTTGAAGTGTGAATGTTTCCTACCTTCAGACCGTATTTTCCTCTGTGGATCCTCCTTAGAAAAAGAAATCCACCCCACCCCACCCCTGTCACCACCAGGATGAACAGCACAACATAACTACTGCTTCGGTTTTACTTCTCCGAAACCGAAGGACTAGAAATGGTCTCTCTGCTGCATACTGTATATCTCAGATACACAACAATGACAATCATGTAAATAATTTCTACTGGTCTAGGCGCAGTGGTTCACGCCTGTAATCCTAGCATTTTGGGAGGCCGAGGTGGGCGGATCACCTGAGGTCAGGAGTTCAAGATCAACCTGGCCAACGTGGAACCCTGTCTCTACTAAAAATGCAAAACTTAGCCAGGTATGGTGGTGCACAACTGTAATCCCAGCTACTCGGGAAGCTGAAGCAGGAGAATCGCCTGAACCTGGGAGGTGGAGATTGCAGTCAACCAAGATTGCACTGTTTCACTTCCCTCTGGATGAAAGGGCAAAACTCTGTCTCAATAATAATAATAACAACAACACATTTCTACCTGCTGAATAAATAAGAAAAACACTTTGAAGAGCTTAACACCATTGTGTCATGATAGTTACAATTAGTCATTCATTCATTCTTTCACTTAACACAGAATACTTGTGTGTGTCACTTAATACAAAAAAATACTTGTGTGCTGGGTGCCAAACACTGTTCTAGGTTCTAGGAGTACACAAGTCAACAAAAACTGGGAAATGCCCTTACCTTTATGGTGCTTATGTTTTAATAGGAAACAGACAGTAATAATATATAGTACATGGCACGTAATATGATAAATACTGTTTTGTGAAACTTTCGTTTCAATTATATATGCTGTGTTTACTGAGTTGAGACACAGATATAAAATATGCATCCTACTTTGGACAGAGGTACATTCTGTCCTCTGTTTCCTCACAATCAAATAACTCTAGACTGGCCAGCTGGGCACAGAGGCACAGACCTGTAATCCCAGCACTTTGGGAGGCCATGGCAGGTGCTTGCATCCAGGAGTTTGAGACCAGCCTGGGCAGCACAGCAAAACCTGTCTCTACCAAAAATAGAAAAATTAGCCTGGTGTGGTGGTGCACGCCTGTAGTCCCAGATAGTTGGGAGGCTGAAGTAGGAGGGTCACTTACAACCTGGGAGGCTGAGGTTGCAGTAAGCACTCCAGCCCACAACACAGAGACAGACCTTGTCTCAAAAA